TTTGCCTTCGGACATGGTAAGGTGGGTGAAAAAAAAGGTGACTGAACACATCATTAAAAACAAAACAATATATATAGTTTTTTTCTATTCCAATGGTCAGGCCAAAAACCTTGACATTTCCTTCAATTTGCTGCAATCATATGAATAGCCCTCCAAATATTCTATTCCTATGACTGGTACAAAAAGTCATGAAAATCAATGAAAACAGTGCATTCATTGGAATAGAAAATAGAGCTTTAAAAAAAAAAATATATATATTTTTTATAATGAGGTCCTCCAAAAAAGTATATACTTTGTTAGGCAAGCTTAACCACCCGGGACACCAATTAAGTTGTTTCTACTTAGATACTTCACTACTAATTATGTTTGTATCCTCCTTGACAAAATTAGTGGTGACTCGCCAGGTGTCAGGCTCTCAAGATTTAGCAAACAAATAGAAATAGAACATATTTTTTTGTTTAGGTTTAACTGGTTAACTATCCTACAGTGTATCAAGTTTAGTTCACGGTTTACTCTCGTCTGGACTCTGGACACAGAAGATGGAAAAAATCTTCTGGCCGTTGCCACCGAACAGCTGGACAAAAACCAAAAACGTCACTTGTCCACTTGTTTTGTGAGATGTGCATTGTGCAGTGCAAATTCTTTGAACCAACTGTGACTCTGTAACACTGTAAAACATTTACTTTCAAGTCTTCCAGCCCAGCTACAACTGGATATTGAAATTGTACATATTAGATAGTATATGTTATGTTTCCGACTTTTTGGCTGAATGTTACTGCCCCGCTGCCCCTCTAGATGTTGAAGAGGTGCTGCCATGGCACTTGATCAAGGCCAAATTCCTTTGACCATGGGCGAGGACATGTCTGAGGACACAAAGGCCGAGCTCTCAGGCGGTGAAGGAAATTCAGTGGACACCGGCGCCGGGACGTTGAAAGACCTTTTCAATTGGCCGGACACGTATGCCCACAAGATCCTGGAATCACCTCAGTGCTCTCAACTGTTCCGACAGCTGATGAAGTATGACATCCACCACCATGATGAGTCTTTTTCAGGGACAGGTTCTGCAGGGGTATCGCTTCATATGCTTCACAAAGCGTTTGTATCACACCTCCGGGCCACGGAGATCCCACAAGTTACCTGGCACTGGGTTCTTAGATGGCTGCCTTTTTTTTCTTGCTGTTCACCAACAGAGTCGCCGGCTGACCGACTTAACATTGGTTAATTTAGTCACTTGAAGGAAGGAGTTTTGTTTTCATGTTAGACAGAAGTCTCTCTGAGGTATGGGATGCATGGACGAGGTGGGCACAGTCAAGACTGTCACCTGCTGTGACCATGACAAGAAATGCCAAAGTGCTTTGAAGTCTCTGAACAAGGACACATTCTGTGTTCAGCTGCTGTTCAGAACCTCTTATCACTTATACCACTTTCAAGCCAAACTTAAACCTAAGACTAAGACTAAGAATATCGACTTATCTAGCAAACAAGCTGGGCAAGGTGCAATGGTGTCACAATCACAAGTGTTTTTCTTTTTCCGGGACGGGGACAGGGCTGGGCTGCGGGGCGGGCGGGGTGGGCCAGGAATTCCGCCCTGAACACGTGCACGCTTCTTTGGAATCCAAAGTTCAACCACTGGTCCTGCAAGAGATGGATTTGGCCTTTGACAAGGTTCATGAAGAACTGAGACTTGCTGCAGGACATTTGGCATAGTCACCGTTGTGGATGCAGACTCTAATAAACAAAACAAAACAACCACCAGCCACGCCACACCCAATGTTCAATGTTTTGCGTTTTGTTCAATTTTGTTCCAATACAGTATCCGTCCAGTCATCAGTCATCCAGGCGAACTTGATGAGGACGAGGCCAAGGAAATCGAAGCCAAATTCGGGGAAAGGCTCCTTGACACTTTTATGCGCATCCTCACCGACAAACCTGGTGTATTCAAATCCTCTTTGCCATGCACCTTTGATGACCATAAGACCAATGAGGTAGGGACCAGTGGTTGAATGGTTGCTGACTGCAGTGTTCAATTGTTGAACCGTTGAATGATGGCTGGAATTTGGAACGCATAGATTTCTTCAACTTTTTTCAAATATACATACATCATACATACTTGTTATATTTCTTCTGGTCTGAACCAGGTGGACGGCTGCCCTACTCCTTGGGGTTTCTCCTTGCTGGAATCACACTTGAATACAATTGATGCTGCATGCGGACCATGTGGGATGGATTCCGTTCCAAAGAAGCCTGGAAGTCATGAACCTCATGAAGCAGAAGACGTAGACATCATGGAAGTGGCACTTTGCACTCCAGAAGAGAATGGACGCAAGCCAAAACCATGCATCCGGGTTGCTTCGGGAGGCAGCGTGTGCACCGATGTCAGTTACATTGGTCCAACCCTCAGCCGTATTACTCCTGGTTTACCTTGATCCTGAATCCTGAAGATAATGATTCATCCCTGAATCTTTGAAGTAGTCTACGTCTACTTACACCTTTTCAGATTCACAATTAATTCACATCACATTATCACATCATTGATTTTCAAGCCAAATGAACAGCACCTGAAAATGAGGTGGGCGTGCTGGACTCTTGGCTCGTTCGACAAAGAGTCTGGCAATCTGGCTGGCAGAGAGGAAGATATCCCGGGAGGCAGTGGTCAGATAGTAGTGTCCTTTCATTTAGTAGACTGGAGTCTTGTTGGGTGGGTTTAGTTTAGTCCTGTTGACACTGTGACACTTGGCAAATACCATGTGGTTTCAACAGAAGTGGCAGTGACTGTGACTGACTGGTTAACGACAGGCTGCCAATAGTTCGGGATTCTGGAAATGTACAGGACAGATACCAAACAAGTAGGCCACAAGAGAAGACCTTTGTTGTATACTGCACTCAGATGTGCAATGCGCTAGGCGGTCATCATCCATGAATGTACCGGTGGTTTTGCGAGATGGCTGCTGTCCAAGTTCCTTCCAGAGTATGACTGGCACTGCTTGGTCAAGACGGACCAAGGGCCTGAAGGGATCGTCAATGATGCTGTCAGTGACCCCTTCTTGCTGAGCCCCACGTGCATGGGGTGGCCTGTCAACAAACCTCGGTTGTACAGTATTGGAACATTGAGGGATGTTTGCCGTCTAGAGCCCAATGAAGAGCAGTCGGCCATTTCCAGGGCTACATTGTTGTTCCAGCCTTGCCGGTTGGATTGCAGTTCGCTCTTTATAGCCCCAAAGGACTGTTGTTTGGTTTTGGGCCCTTATGTTCTCTTCAGTCTTCCCAGCCTCCTTCTCTATGTCCGTATCATATCCAGGAAAATGTTGATACAGAACGACAAGCTGCTGCTATGACTGCTATGAAGCCGAGAAACTCCTCATTCATTGACCTATTGAAAGGACGGCTCTACAGTACTGTACTTGTTCATCCTTCTTGAATCAAATCAAATATCGAATCCCGTCCAGTTATGTCCAATTTACATAACATGTTGAGAAATTGGCTTCTTGCTGAGTCTTGCTGTCTTGATTTGTTGAGCTGTCAGGAGCCAAGCCGTGTTGGCTGAACAAGTACCGTTCTCTGGACAAGGTCAAGAAGCAGTGGCAGAAGGGCTGCTAGTCAGTGAATTCAGAATCACCGCTGCAGTCTGCAGCAGCATTGTAAGCAATTTAAGCAATACTTGACTACTTGAGTTCTTTTTGAAATTGTTGACTTAGACTTGGAGGATGGGGGAGAGGGCTCCGACTCCGACTCATACGGAAACACTGAAACACTTCTCACTTATCATCTTCAGTCTTCAGTCTTCAGGATCTGGAATTGGTGTTGTCCCGAGTCCTGAGGTAGACGATGCATGGTTGCAAACCTTCACCAAAATCCGCAGAAGAGGCCTGTGGTAGGGTATCGTCTGCCAACCCTGCTAAGGCAGGGCTGCATGTGGTTGTTGTTGAATAGAAGCACTGCAGCCGATGACAATGCTGACACGGACACGGATACGAACTTGGAAGAACGCTGGTTACTCCCATCAAACACTCATTTGAATTGGGCAACGGGTTGGTTATGGCTATGGTCTGACTGATTGTTAGACTTTATTGCTGAACAATCGCACAATCGAATCAGGTGTGATAGATATTCACTTCCAATCATTGTTTCTGACTACTTAGGAACACCTGAACTCAATGGGCCTGTATATGTACAGGGATTTTGCCTGTGGACAGCCTTTCCCTCTTTATCACAAGCCCCTTTGGCTTGCGCTGCCAAAGCGATGGCTGGCAACGTGCCCTGGCCAGGCTTGAGAACGGCTTACCATTTTTGTAACTGGATGTCGGATGAGTCGGATGTAACTGGTAGTGTAGTAGTGCTGTGCAGTGCTGTGGAGGTGTGCATGTGGTGTGCGACTGGCTGCCCCGGATTTGAACAATACAAATGACCTGACCTAGGCAATGCACACCTCTTGCGTTGGAGCAATGTGGGCGGTGGTGCTGGGAAGCCTTAAGATCAATACCGATGATTAAAAGGTGAGGTGTAATATCTTGCCTTTGGTAATTCGATCAGGAGTCAGGAGTGCTTGGCTTTTTGCCTCCAAGTCCAGGCCCTCTAGGCAGCAGGGGGGCAAAGGCGGAGTCAGGTCATTGTCAAGTTAGGTTTTACGAAGAAGCTAAGACAAAGTTAGATGAAGTCCGCTTATTTGAATTGCATTGTTACATTAACATTCTGCAACGGATTCGGTCATGGCCTCCTGCATGAGAGACATGGAAACCTCACCATACTCACACATGACCGTGTTTGTTGGCTCAGGGGCCCCTTTTTTCTAGCGCATGACTTGCGCTTGGTGCTGACGCGCGCCTACCATAAATCGGTGCTTTGTGTCGCCGTGCCGCTTTGTTCGATCGAGCCCAATTTTGTTTGACGCTCCCTCGCTGCTTCGCTGGATTGGTAGCGGAGCACAAGCTCCGGGGCCCGACGGCCGGTGCTCCCTCCTGAGGAGCTTGGCATTGGCTGTCGCTTGCTTGCCTTCCTCCTAGGTGCCACTACTTGTTCCTGGAGCTCTACAGCTTTGGCCTTGGCACCTGGCTTGCTTGGTTTGGCCCTGCGCCTTTGGCTCATTGGGGGACTACTTGATTGACGCCTTCCTTGGTGCCTCAACTTGCTCTCCGAGCTCTTTGGCGAGTTCACCTGTGGCTCAGGCATTTTGCCTGGCATGACGGAGAAAGACTCCGGACATCATGTCCCATCCTGGGACGGCAGTGCGAGGACGTGGAGGAAATACCATCGCGAAGTGAGCTGGTATGTCCGATCCACGCCAACGCACAAACGACGGTACTGCGCGCCTCGCCTTGTGGGACGCCTCACTGGCCCTGCAAGGCTACTGGCTATGTCATGGACATCCGTCAGCTTCGACCATGCTGGCGGAACTCGAGATTTCTTGCGCAGGTTGGCATCCTCTCCACTGGTGCGGCAATCGCTTCCCAATGCGGCTGCGATCTGCCAGCAATACTTCAGTTTCACGCGAAACAGTGGAGAAAGTATGCAGCTTCCTTGTCAGAGAGGCTTTATGCTACGCTGAGTTCAGTGAGGCCATCATTAGACTCTATGAGGAGAAGAATGGCATCCAGCAGCACGACCTGGACTTCGACTTCCCGCCAGATGATGAGGAGTGGGAACAAGAAGAACCATGGACCAGCTGGGGCTACGAAGATGAGGAGACTCAGACCTCACCTGTGGGCTCCACCCATGCAGCTGCTGCTGATAGTGGTTCGCCTCACGGGAACTATGCACGTGCGACTACATCATCGTCACCTTCGAGGCATTCGGCTGGAGTTCAATGGGACCTTCCTGGTGTCACGGAGTTGAGCCTAGCTGACAGCTTCGTCCTTGGTGTCCTACGTGGCTTCCGTCTCTTGCAGGCCTCTGGACTGTCACCAGACGACATGCGAGACATCATCAGCACAACCAAGGGCAGCCTCGAGTTCGAGGTTGTCACCAAGGCACTGCAGACTCTCTGGGACGACCAATTGGTTGGACGTCGCCATGCTGGTGGTTGGTCTCCCTCCAAGACCCATGAGGCCATGTTTGAAGAAGCAACCTCACCGTCTGATGATTGGTGGGATGACGCCAACGTGGCCCAGTATGATGACAACTATGATGACTGGTGGCAAGATGATGAAGAATGGGGCTATGCCATCGAGGAGCACGAGGGCACGAAGGCTTCTGAGGAAGATGATGATGCGATAAAGGAGGCCCAGAAGGCAGAGCAGATTGCTGAGGGCTTGGCAATGGAAGCCCAACGCTCATGGGCTGAAGCTCAACGTGCCACTCAGGCACTTCGAAAAGATCGCGGGTTTGGACATTTGATTGGAGGAGGCAAGGGGTCTTCTCCTGCCAGGTGCTGGACCTGCGGCGGCCCGCATTTCTCCCGAGACTGTCCCGATCGACGGCATCCCTCTGTTGGCAAAGGCAAGGGCTGGAAGGGTCACTACATGACTGACGAGCTCTACTACATGAAGGGGAAGGGCAAGAAAGGCAAAACTGCCTCATGGATGGAACTTCAAGCCTTCCAGAAAGGCAAATCCTCCAAGTCCGGCAAGGGCAAAAAGGGGACCGGGGACCATGTCACGACCTTCCGTCAATGCCTACACCAACGAGCTTTTTGGTTTAGAGTTTTCTGGAGCCTTGGATGTCCATTCAGCGACATCACCTGTGGCTACCATGGCACCTCACATGGGCCTCATCGACTGCGGATTCTGCCGGGCCACAGATTGCAGTCGAGGCCTTGGTCTCATCCATTTTGACCAAGGACAGTCAAGCGTCCGTGGATCCATACAAGAATGCTCGTCCGTTCTTTCGTTTCGGCAACGGTGGATGGGGTCGTGCACTTTATCAAGTGGTTCTCACGAGCACTGTCACCGGAAGTGCTCGTACCTTCAAGTTGTTTGCATTGCCAAATCCCCCCAACTTACATCACCCGGACTTTGACAGGAACACGTTGGTGCCCATTCTCATTGGCATGGACCACTTGTCAGGTAACCCTTCGGCCATGTTGGTGGATTTTCGAACAGGTTTGGCCATGGATTCCTATGCACTACATCCCAAAGAATAATATCAACTACCATGCAATCGGAAGGGTCACTATATCATGGACATTGTTGAGTACCTCACCATGGGTCAAACCAGGTCTACCGGTCATGCTCGGGTTCGGGTTTCTGCAGATGTGAGTCATGCATGTCACACCTTGGAGTTCCACCCTGTTGAGTACTATGACATGTCAGTTTCTGATGCACACCATGTTCACGAGAGTCAGCTTCAACAGTCACGTGCACTTCTTTTTCAACTTCATCGGAGCAGCTTGAGTTTGCATCCCTTTGATCACCGTGCAGCCCTGGCTTCAATGCATCGCTGCGGAGAAGCTGATTCCAATTCGCTTCCCGCTTCCCCAGCTTCGACTCTCGACCATGGCCCGACGAGCTCCACGTGCCAGCGAGCTGGAGGAAGAGGGGATCCGAGTGGGACATCCGCTCAGCCACGGACAAGAAGGCCACACCTGAGCCAGGACGGTGCTGGCAGATCCGAGGGATCCTCGAACAGATCCCGGCCAATGGCCATGCTATGGACAACATGTCCCAATCAAGGCTCATGCCAATCCACACGGCCGCTGGGTTCACTGCAGCACGTGCAACCTCCCCCTCCAGTACACTCCACGAGTGGGCTCACATGGTCAAAACACCAAGACCGACAGTCCACCCTTGACGGTCAAGATGCTCACACAGCTGTACGAGGTGATGGGAGGGCGCACACCGACGGCCACGATCTGCCTCCTGATGCAGAAGAAGATCGATGCCGACGAGGCTCTGCAGGGAATGGTCGAACCGGTGTTCCAACGAGTGCCCCAGCTGAGCGAGAAGCCTCCCTTCTACGACAAGGAGATGATCAAGGTCAAGAAGGGCAACAAGAAGAGCAGCCGCGACACGAGCCCGGCTCCATCATGGGACAAGGTGGGGACTCCTCCGACGTCACCACCTTCGCATTGGGTCGAACTTCAGGACTACATGGACCCGAGCGAGATGGAGCATTTGATGAAGATGCTTCAAGAGCGCAAGGCAGCAGCCAAGCAGGCTGTGGACATGGAGACTGGATCGGGGAGCCTGGCATCTGCCTACGAGCAGGAAGCCAAGTCAGTGTGAAAACTACATCACGGAAGAGTGCTACAGGCCCTTTGAAGAGCTCTATGATGAGCAGCCCTCGCACTTCATCCCGGAAGAAAGTGACACAGGCTTCTCCGAGCACTACACCATCTTCCAAGAGTGCTACTACCAGTTCATCCAGTCCTTCTACCAAGATGCCTATGCCTCTGCCCTTGAAGATCGGCGCTAAGCTGCTGCTCCTGGCTACGACCTTGTTGAGCTCTATGGCAAGTGCAACTATGAGTCCCTGTTTGGGAGACAATGATGGCATCTGGGAGATCGCATGTGCTCCCCACAGTTGGCTGTCGGAAGCATGCCAACGTCAAGGACTTCAACCTCGCCGCATCAATCTTGAACAAGGCTATGATCTCTATAGGAAAGAGACTTGGGAGCGAATGAAAGTCCTTCGATCCAAGAAGAAGCCACGGAAGCTTTGGTTCAGTCTTCCTTGCGCAAAGTTCTGCTGCTGGACCTACCTCAACTATGCATCACGCCCTGAAGAACTTCGGCAGGCTCGCAAGAAGGAAAGGAAGATGCTTTGGTACATGAACGACTTTGTGATGGACAGACACTCTCTCCAAAGCTCCCGACACCAAGATCTACTTCGAGTGGACTCATCCATGTCAAGGGTGGCAAGAACCCCAATGGTCGACCTCGAGACCTTCCTAGCAGCCTTGGACATTCCCTGGCTCTCATGCCGCATCGACGGTTGCGTCTATGGCATGATGGACTCTCGAGGTGAACATCATCTTCACAAGAAGTGGCTTGTCAAGACCACCTGTGAACACTTCCATGCCACCTACAAGACCAAGGTATGCCATGGAGGCCACTCACACACCTTGATTCAAGGCGCCGAAACCGCTAAGAGCGCCTACTACCCTTGGAAGCTTGTCCAGTCCTGGGCACGATTTTGGAGAGCTGAGATGGTGTCTGATCGCAATTCGGCTCCTCTTCATGAAGCAGGATTCACCCGCTGCTCTGGAGGATGAAGAGCTCTACCTCGTTGCCGACGATGACGATGGCACCCTCAATGCTCTTCCTGCTGAAGAAGCCCTACAACCGGTGGAAGTTCCTTCTGAACAAGAAAAGAAACAATGGATGGCAAGAGTAGCTCATTTCCACAAGGCAGCTGGCCATCCTACCAACAAAAACTTGGCCAAGCTGATCAAGAATGCCGGTCAACCAGCCTGGAAGTCCGAGCTGGCTTTGGAACACAAATGTCCGGCCTGTGAGGCCATTCGACCTGGCGAGAACATTCCACCGGCGAGCACTCACTCTATGTGGAGTGCATGGCAAGCTGTTGGCATGGACACCGCAGAATGGCAGATTCCAGCCACCAAGAACAAGGTGAAATTCGTCCTCATGATGGATCTGGCTACGAAGCTTCGTGTGGTCTGGCCCATCATGGAGTACCCCAACATGGAGATGCGAGCTGAAACTGCCGACCACATCACTGAAGCCTTTGCTGAACGCTGGCTCTCCGTATTCCCGAAACCTGAGATGGTGATAGTTGACAATGGCAAGAGCTTCACCCTAGAAGCTGGCATTCAGGACATCAAACAAGTGGCGACCGTCCTCCAGATGGAGCAACTGGACCTTCGGCCGGCTCATACATTGATTCTGGCCACTTCAGCTCTGAACCAAACTGAATACACTGCTGGGTATTCTGCTCAGCAATGGGCCTTCGGGAAGCACTACTCCCTGACCGATGAGGACCACCGCACGTACGAGCAGGTGGAGCCTTCAACTGACTTTGCCCGCCTCGTTCAAGCCCGACAACAGGCTGAAGAGATTGCCGTGAAGACCAGATCAAGGAGAGTTCTGAGCAAGCTCTCCAACACTCTGGTTCGACAGCCCTTGAGAACCTTCTCTCCTGTAAAGATCTGGCGCCAATTCCAACCAGCTGATCAACACAAGGGCAGCCGTGGTGGCTTCAAGAAGTCTGGACGACCTCAGGTGATCCTCGCCGACACATCCTTTGGGTACTCATCGGAAGCCGCATCTACAGATGCTCAGTTCACAGCGTTCGGCCAGTGACCGAGGTTGAGCGCCTCCAGTACGAGATGACAGCCGATGAGGATCCCACCAAGTGGAAATGTTTGGCAGACATCCTGCCCAAGCGAGAGTTCACTGACCTCGTGGATGAACTCCCAAGGGAGGACGAGATTGAAGTCCCGAACCTTCCGTTCTCTCCGGATCCTGCGACCTATGCTCCAATACGACGAGCCACTGGCAAGTCCACGTTGCAGATCTCCGACTACAAGCTGAAGCATCGCAGCAGTCCATTGGGACTACAACCTCCAGATCGTGAAGTACAACACTTTGTACCTCCTGCTCACGCTTCGAGCTCGGCACGGCCTTCCAACTCGGCCCTACCAGAGGCTGAGGAAACTGCCAATGACTACGAAGACTACACACCGAGTCTTCCTGATGCCGCTGCTGATGAACCTCCTGAAGATGAACCACAACCTTCAGAGAGAGATCCCAAAAGAGCTCGCAGTGAGTATGATCTGAAGTGGGTGGAGGAGCTGAAATCTCACTCCGAGATCGACAACAATGAAGTCTTCAGCTACCTCACCGAATGTCAAGATGATTTGGACGTCTTGGTCATGTACATCGATGTAGAGCCTGAGACTAACACCAAGAGAAAGGCTCTTCTTCGGAACCCCGTCCTCTACCTGGCCAAGAAGTTGAACAATTCAGAAGTGTCCTTGCAGCGCTTGAGCAACCTCGAGAAGGTCCTCTTCCAGCGTGCCAAGATGAAAGAAGTCAACTCCTTCCTCAAGAACAGCGCAGTCCGCAAATGTCTGGATGATGCGGAGATCCGCGAGGCCTATGGCAGTAGCAGAATCTTGAAGGCCAGATGGGTCCTCACTTTCAAGCCCATACCGCCTGATGAGCGTGATGAAGCACTACAAGACAGCCACAACAACCCGGACACGGTGGTGAATCCTCAAGCCACCAAGAAAGCTAAGGCCCGCATCGTACTCCTTGGCTTCCAGCATCCAAGCTTGATGGACAGGAACTTCAAAACAGCTGCACCTGTCCAGAGCGGACTTGGACGATCGCTGCTCTACTTCCTCTCCGTGGTCAACCAATGGGAGATCTGTGGTCTTGATCTTGCCACCGCCTTCCTGCAGACGCAACCGACCGAGGCCGATCAACGTCTCTGGACATCAGGAGTCTCTGAGCTCAAGGAGGCTATGGGACTACCTCAAGACGCTCTCCTTCGCATCCTGCGCAATATATATGGCTCAACGACAGATAAGACTCTTGTTGGCCTTGGCGCAGTCCCTGCTGTTGGCGAGCGATGCCTCTGGCTCTGGTTCAGCAAGCATGAAGTTGACCCGGTGACCTCCACTCCTGCTCTGCTCGGTGCGATGGGAGGGCCACAGAGTTGGCAACAACAAGTCACCTGAGTGGGTTGAGATCTGCCAGAAGATCGATAAGGCCTACCAGTGGGGAACGATCAAACGACGGTCGTACCGTCACGCTGGCACCGACATCAACACCATCGACCAGGCTGACGGCACCTTCCGCCAGGACGCCTACTACATTGAGGGCATACCTGACCTGGAAGTTTCTGTGCAGCGCCTTCGAACTCCTGATCAGGCACTCACGCCCCAGGAGATTGCCTCTTGCCGGACGGCACTTGGATCCTTGCAGTGGTTGGCCATCCAGACACAACCACAACTATGCTCTCGGTGCAACCTTCTCCTGACGGAGATCCTGGTTGAGGGCACCACCACACATGCAAGAGAGATCCAGAACATGATCAGCGAGGTCCGTGTCCAACCTCAACGGCTTCGCTTCTTTCGACCTCCCAAGGTGAAGCATTGGTCTGACGTCATCGTCACCACCATGGGAGACCAGGCCCACAGCAACAGGCCAAAGGGCGACAGCACGGGAGGAATGATCTCCCTCCTAGCTGGACCTGACAGCCTGTCAGGTGATGTGACGCCCATGGTCCTCCTGACGTGGAAGACATGGAAGTTGAAGAGAAAGGCCATCGCCTCCAACGATGCTGAAGTGCAGGCGGTCCTGGAGTCAGAGGACAAAAACTTCCGAGCACGGCTGCTGTGGTCTGAGATCAACGGAGCCGGACTCCACCATCGAGACCTTCCAAGAGATCTGGTGGCATCCTCCGAGCTCCAGGCCATGAAGGTGAAGGGAGTTGTCTGTACAGACAGCCGTGGTGGCTACGACGCTGTCGAGACCAACGAGAGCCCGCTCCTAGGGCTCACGAACATGAGGGCAGCTCTTCAGGCCTTCCAACTTCGCGAGAACTTGCGAAGATGTGGCAGCGAGTTGAGGTGGCTCGCGTCGGATTACGACCTGGCCGGCTCCATGACGAAGAAGAGGGCCGATAGCCGTGAAGGCCTTCTCAAATTCATGGCCACCTGGCACTGGACGATCGCTTACGATCCCAACTTCGTGGCGGCCAAAAAGAACAAGAAGCTTGGCCTGACGGCAGTCGACAAGATCGACAGAGCTCTTCGGCAAGCTGATGCGCTGCGCTCGACGACCGCTTTTGAGACGATGCCGGAGCCTCCTGAGCCTGTAGCTTCAGTGATCGCTGAGGACCGATCACTGATGTCCTCTTTTCCCCGTGCAACGGATTCGGTCATGGCCTCCTGCATGAGAGACATGGAAACCTCACCATACTCACACATGACCGTGTTTGTTGGCTCAGGGGCCCCTTTTTTCTAGCGCATGACTTGCGCTTGGTGCTGACGCGCGCCTACCATAAATCGGTGCTTTGTGTCGCCGCGCCGCTTCGTTCGATCGAGCCCAATACCTTTGTTTGACGCTCCCTCGCTGCTTCGCTGGACATTCCTAGTGTTTGTTTTCTCTGTGGAATTGTAATTGGAATGAATTGGATTCAATTAGACTACAATTTGTTGACTCAGATTCGGATTCAATCGCTGTTGGATCTTGCATTTGCCTTCATTTCAATCAGGCTTGACTCACTTTTGGCGGAGTTGAAACAGAAAGTGGTTTGTGTTCTTCAGCACATACCATACCAGCTTCTGCACTGCTAGCTCGAGCTAGTCACTAGCTTGTTTGCAATGCAAAAAAGGCGATGCCTTCCGTATTGACACCGACACGGACACGGACTGACACTGGACACCATCTGTCATTTTCAATCAGATTGATCAGGTTGACCGGATTGACCTTGCCCATTACCCT